ATGTCATAGGCTCAGCCCACTGTGTTGTCCTCCATCCTGTTCAATGAACAGCCCCACCCCAGACCACTGGCTCTACCTGTCCCTAGAAAGCACTTGACCTAGCCTCTCTGCTTCTCCTCCCTGTGTTCCTTCCACCCACCCACACCTCAAGCATTCAGTGGCCCTCAAGAATCCCTCTTAATTTTGGTGATTTTAATAGCTCTTAAAAGAAAGACACCTCCAAGACCCAAAGGATAAAGAGGGAAGACAAGAGATCTTTTGCAAAGACATTGTGAACAAAAGCAAAGAACACAAATGCTTTCTCAAAGCATGTCAATGCTACTATTTGAGACAGACATGAGATGAGAAATGTACCCTAGGTTTCTAAACACCAAGGCCTGACATCTTTGCTCAGTAAAGGCCTGCCTCCACTATGTGCTTTCAACATTAATGCAAATGCAAGCTCTCCTTTAGAAAAGCTGAACCATTGTACCATCCATTCATCATCTCTCTTCATTAATTTATGCATTCCCTCAATTTCTCTTTCATTGATCCATTCAATTCAGCCATCACTGGGTTCTGTGTAAGGGATACAAAAAGAATTAGCTGCAATTCCTGTCTCAAGGAGTCCAAGTTTAGGAGAGAAACAGATACATCCATAAGCAATTATGGTACAGTATACGTACAAGTGCTATGACAGATGGATGCCCAGGGTCCTATGGAGGCACCCAGGAGAAACACCAACATGGTTTTTAGGAAATCAGGGAAGCCTTCTCAAAAGCATGATACATTTGGTTCCTGGATATGGAACCATTTACTGGATGAAAGGTACAGGGGACAGGAAGGAACAGCAATGGGACTAGAAGGGTACTCAATCATGAAAAGGCCTTGTGGACCATGATAAGTAGTTAGATTTTACACTGACACCTGAGTGCTTTAAATAGGGGAGTAACTTGACCATGTTTGCCTTTTGGAAAGACCTCTCTGGCTGTGGTGAAGGTATAGGAGAAGGAGGGCAAGTCTGGAGCCAGGGAGACCATTAGGAGTCTGGGGCAATTACTCAAAATCTTCATAGTGACAATCTGAACTGGGAAGTGCCTTGGGCCTGGAGCAATATGAGAGGTTGTAAAGAGGCAGGATCAATAGGGCTAGTGGTTGAAAGTGGAAGATTAGGAAAAAGAAGTGTCATCCTTGAGGTGTAGCTCTCAGACAGTTGGAAAAGAAGACTTTTGGACAACTTTGCAGAGGGCAAAGCAGAGAAGGAGCCCCCAAAATCCTGATCCCCACCTTTCTAGGTCCTCTCCATGCACTTTCTCTTCCGCAGCTAAGCCAGCAATGAAATTCACATGGAGATGGCCTTCCTCCCACAAGTCCCTTATAAACTCTCTCAGCTGAGAAATTAAACATGGCATCATCTGTTATGCTGGAATGTCATCTCAAAGAATCCTTCCCTGCTACGTGGAATAAGCAGATCTTTTAACAATCAAGCCTATTTCTACTTTATTCTTTTTTTTTTAAGATTTTGTTTATTTATTTGACAGAGAGAGACACAGCGAGAGAGAGAACGCAAGCAGGGGGAGTGGGAGAGGGAGAAGCAGGCTTCCCGCCGAGCAGGGAGCCCAATGAAGGGCTCAATCCCAGGACCCTGGGATCGACCTGAGCCGAAAGCAGACGCTTAACGACTGAGCCACCCAGGCACCCCTCTACTTTATTCTTATAGCTCTCATCTCCCTTAACATTATATAAGCACCATGAGGGCAAGGATTTTGTGTATTCACTGATATATATCCAGCACCCAGAGCAATGTTTGATACATAGGCAGTTCACAATTAATATTTATTGATGAATGAATGAGGACCTCTGTGGACAACTAAGAAGGGCATCTCTTTGTCAGTAATTCAAAGAAATCACTACCCTGCTCTCACCCATCAGGAGACCATGACCATGAGCAATGCAAGAATCAGCTACTCTGAATCACAACTACTTGATAGAGACCTGTTGGTCTCTTGCCAATTTTGTCCCATCGGCATGCTCTGGCTGTGGTTTTGTCCTGGGAATTAAAGAGCTAGTTCTCAAGAGGCCAATTCCAACAAGAGCAAAATGACCTAAATAGTAGAGTCTGAAACTAAACCAGGGCAGATTCAAATTTTGAATTCTCTCCCAAGTAAGACACTACTAATACTGCTGGGCTTTTAAATGAAACCAAGAAATGAAAACACAATGAGCTACCACTGTGCAGCTGCTAAGAAAGCTAAAAATAAAAAGACTGACAATATCAAGTGTTAGCAAGGACACAAAGCAACTGGAACTTTCAGACATTGTTGGTGGGAATACAAAATGGTATGGCAAAACAGTTGCAAAACAGTTGGGTAGTTTTTTATAAAGTTAAACATTCCCATACTATTTATCCAGCAATCCAATACCTAGGTATTTATCCAAAATAAATGAAAACATATGTCCACACAAAAATTTATACATAAATGTTCATAGCACCTTTCTTCATAATAGCCAAAAACTGGAGACAACCCAAATTCCCATCAGTAGATGAATATTTTTTCATGTACTTTATTCATACAATGTAATATTATTTAACAAAAAGGAATGAACTATTGATATCTGAAAAAAGGATGAATATAAATAATGTTATTCTAAGTGGAAAAGAGTTCATACTGCATGATTTCATTTACAGGAGATTCTAGAAATGGCATTTATAGTGACATAAAGACTGATGGTTGCCTGAGGCTGGGATCAGGGGTGGGGAGGATTGCCTGCAAATGGGGCACTAGAGAATTTGAGGGATGATGACAAGTTCTGTATCTTGATTGCTGTGGTGGTTACTTAAGTATATACAATTGTCAAATCTTATCAAACTGTACATTACAATTGTATGTACTTTATTATATATGAAGTATACCTTAATGAAGTTGGTTTATAAAAAACAAATTTTCACTTTGCATAATCCCCTGCAGTTCCATCCATGTCAATGCAAATAGTGGGTATTCATCTTTTCTGATGGCTGAGTAATATTCCATTGTATATATGAACCACATCTTCTTTATTCATTTGTCTGTTGAAGGGCATCTCAGCTCCTTCCACAGTTTGGCTATTGTGGACATTGCTGCTATGAACATTGGGGTGCATGTACCCCTTCTTTTCACTACATCTGTATCTTTGGGGTATAGCATGGAGGACCACAGGGGAAGGGAGGGAAAACTGAATGGGAAGAAATCAGAGAGGGAGACAAACCATGAGAGACTCTGAACTCCGGGAACCACACTGAGGGTTACAAAAAGGAGGGGGGTGGGAGGATAGGGTAACCGGGTGATGGGTATTAAGGAGGGCACGTGTGGTGATGAGCACTGGGTGTTATACGCAACTAATGAATCGTTGAACATTACATCAAAAATTAATGATGTACTACATGCTGGCTAATTGAACATAATAATAAAAAAATAAAAAATAAAAATAAATTTTAAAAAACAATTTTTTTAAAGGCAAAAACATAAAAATAGTGTAATCCTAGTTTTATTTGTAAATGTGCTTAGAAAGGAGTCTGGAAACATCTATGTCAGTAATAAATGCTGAAGTTGAAGTTGAGAATCCAGGTGGCTGTTGTTCCTTCTTCATTTTTTTCTGTATTTTTTCATATTTTTAGAGATCATTGCCATGTTTATAATCAAAAAATATATTTTTGCTTGTTTGTTGAATGAAACATTGCTTTGCAGGAATAAAAAATAACTATTGTTCTCCCAAGGCAAGAGCAAAATAAATTGTATTCCACATGTAGCTTAAGATCATGTTCAGCAAAAAGTTGAATCAACTATCTTCTGAATTTTAGCCTTCCAGCCGGACTCACACACACCTGGCTGAGGCCCCACCTAGCAGATGGACATTCACGCCTCTCATCCCTGGGACTCAAGCAGAAGAAATACAGCTGGTTTCAGGACAAGAAAACCTGACCCAGAAGATGGAGACTTTGCCAAAGCATTTGGCTAGAAGAAAGAACTGGAATTCCCAGAACATCCACAGGCACTGTGTTCACAAAGTTCTGCCACACGAATCTCTTCCATTCCAAATCAAGCTTGTTTTACCAAAGCCTCTTCCCGACTTTGCCAGAAAGTTCTGACCAAACTGGAGCCCTCCTGCAGAACCATTCTAGGGGAGCTATACTGCTGAAGGAAACCATGCCCCATGCTCAAGATTAAACCTTGGCCAGCCTCAGCATTTACTATTTACTGCATTTTAAAAATGCAGGTCCCAAGGCTGCCACCCTGGAGCTACTGGATAAGATCTCTAATGGTGAAGCCTACGAATCTGTATTTTTAAAACCTCCCCAAGTGAATCTCATGCAGCACATGGAAGCTTTAGTCTACATCTGGGGTTCTCATTCAAAACACAGATTGCCAGCCCACACCCCTGTGGATTCTAACGCTGCCTGTGTCAGGGAGGGCTCCAGAATCTCCATTTTAACTAGCTCCCAGACGTTTCTGATGCAAGGGGATTCTGGTGCACAAACCACATTTCAAAAACCCAGTTGTGGACGCCAGAGTAAATTTTCCCAGCCTAGTGCCAAGAGGGAGCTAAGGAAGAGGCGGGAGAACTAATTTGGTTATGCCAGCAAGCTCGAATTTATTAAGAAGTTAACAAAGAGAAATTTTTGCACTCAAAAGCAGCAGAAAGCTGAGGAGGGGGGTCAGTCCCAAAGCCACCTTGAGTTACGAGGATGCCTCACAGTGACAAGACATTTAAGTCCGTGAAAATAAAGCCATGGGGATTCACCCTGTGAGCTTCAGGGATCACCCTGGACGGGACCCAGCTTCCATTGCTCACCAGCGTCTGGCCCTTACTCTCAGGGCCTTGAAACCCCAGGGCAGGTGTTGGAGAACAAGGCCTCGCCTACAAATAACACGGGGGCAGGACGCTGTCTTGGGAGCCAGGAAGGTCCTGGAGACAAGGAGTCTCTCCACCTGCAGCAGGTGGACGCTTTGCTTGGGCCACCTCCGCGGAGGGGGCAGACGGCTTCACTTCGCCTCGCAAACAGGCGTAGGCTGGCAGCAGACGGGGCCGCAGCACCCGGACGAGCCGCAGCAGCCGGAGCCGCAGCAGCCGCTCCCGCAGCCCCCGCAGCCGCAGCCCCCGCAGCCGGAGCCCCCGCAGCCGCAGCAGGAGCCGCCGCAGGAGCCGCAGCCGGAGCCCCCGCAGCCGCAGCAGGGGCCGCAGCAGGAGCCGCAGCAGGGGCCGCAGCAGCCGCAGCAGGCGGGCTGGCAGCCGCACGCTTCACAGCAGTCTTGGTCTTGAGGGCAGCAGGCGAAGCAGTCCCCTGGGCAGCACCCCATGGTCCCCGCGGGCCAGGTGGCAGGTGAGCAGCGCGGCCGGAGCGCCCCCACGTCTGACGGTGGCCAGTGGCCAACAGCTTTTATAGCCCCTCCGCGGAGGGTGTTGGCCCAGGGGACGGGATGTTCCCTCTGTTATTATTTATGCCAGTTTCCATAAGAACGTTTCATTAGCTGCCTGTTTATTTTCCAGCTCTGAGTACCTCAACTCATAAAAAAGCCCCACTCCGCCCAACTGCTCTCTGTCCAGAGGGTAAAAATACATCTTGGAAAGGACCTGTCATCATGGCCAAACACGGGCCAGCCATCATTAGCCCAGGCTGGAGAGAGCCATGGGCTCTGGCTCTGGAATGGGTGCTGCCCTTGCACATCTCCTCTGGCGGCAAGGGGGCAGCCCACCCCTTTCATCACGAACGCTCGTCCTGGAAAATCAGAATGGTAAAAGCTGGATGTCCCGCGCCTCCTGCGGCTCCTCCCAGGTGGCAAGGCATCCTCATGCCAGCCCACGTGAGCAAGGCAAACATTTGTGACTGTGTGTGGTATGTGGAGTGTGCCGCGCGATTGTTTGGGCTTGGTCCGTGAGCATCAGTCATGATTAATAACAACTGCCTTGTGAAAAGGAAAGAGACTCATCATAAAACTGCAAGAGGTGGGAGCCACGTTCTCCCTGGACCTCCTGGTGAACTGAACACTCACACCCCTCTCTAAGTGGGTGGGAACAGCAGTGTTCGGAACCCTTTCTCCGATGGGAGGAGATGGTGGGGGGTGGTGGGGAAGGAGGGGACGAGGAGAGAAAGGAAGGAAGAAAGATAACTGAATATTCGAAACATCACATGAAAATGGGAATGTTGTGCACTTTTTTTTTAAGAGCTCCAACTTTATAGACCATCTGGCAGAATGAGGGATTAGGATAGGAGACACCCAGAGTACCATCCCAGGGGGAAAAAAATGCTTTTGGAAAGAGGCAAGAATCCACAGAGGATTCAGGTCCATGTGTAAATTCTGAGACGGGTCAAAATTCCTATCCCCGTGTTGGGTTTGGTACCTTGTCATACTCTTGGAATGGTAATGGCAACCCTGGAGACTAGGGCTTGGCTTTTGGAAGGCAGTACCCGGAGAAGGGGCTGGAGTGGGAGGTGGCGATAGAAGGTGGCAGTGGGAGTGGAGATCTGAATCAGGAGACACAGCCCTTCTGTTTTAATTTGTATTTTCTTTTTAGTTGGGCCTGGAGGTAAGGCAGCCTCTAAGACAGGCTGGATAGACTGGGAAGGGTGGGGGCAGATGATGGGTTGCTTGGATCCAATAGGATGCTCAGTACTTCATGGGATGTGGAAATTTAGAAATGGGAGAAAGATTCATCAGGATAAAAAGCTTTTGCACAGCAAAAGAAACAGTCAACAAAACCAAAAGACAACTGACAGAATGGGAGAAGATATTTGCAAATGACATATCAGATAAAGGCCTAGTATCCAAAATCTACAAAGAACTTATCAAACTCAACACCAAAGAACAAAGAATCCAATCAAGAAATGGGCAGAAGACATGAACAGACATTTTTCCAAAGAAGACATCCAAATGGCCAACAGACACATGAAAAAGTGCTCAACATCGCTCGGCATCAGGGAAATCCAAATCAAAACCTCAATGAGATACCACCTCACACCAGTCAGAATGGCTAAAATTAACAAGTCAGGAAACGACAGATGTTGGCGGGGATGCGGAGAAAGGGGAACCCTCCTACACTGTTGGTGGGAATGCAAGCTGGTGCAGCCACTCTGGAAAACAGTATGGAGGTTCCTCAAAAAGTTGAAAATAGAGCTACCATATGATCCAGCAATTGCACTACTGGGTATTTACCCCAAAGATACAAAAGTAGGGATCCGAAAGGGTACATGCACCCCAATGTTTATAGCAGCAATGTCCACAATAGCCAAACTGTGGAAAGAGCCAAGATGTCCATTGACAGATGAATGGCTAAAGAAGAGGTGGTATATATAGACAATGGAATATTATGCAGCCATCAAAAGGAATGAGATCTTGCCATTTGCAATGACATGGATGGAACTGGAGGGTGTTATGCTGAGCGAAATAATCAGAGAAAGACATATATGACCTCACTGATATGAGGAATTCTTAATCTCAGGAAACAAACTGAGGGTTGCTGGAGTGGGGGGTGGGGTGGGAGGGATGGGGTGACTGGGTGATAGACACTGGGGAGGGTATGTGCTCTGGTGAGCACTGTGAATTGTGCAAGACTGTTGAATCACAGATCTGTACCTCTGAAACAAATAATGCAATATATGGTAAGAAAAAAAAAAAGAAGACAGCAGGAGGGGAAGAATGAAGGGGGGAAATCAGAGGGGGAGACGAACCATGAGAGACGATGGACTCTGAAAAACAAACAGGGTTCTAGAGGGGAGGGGGGTGGGAGGATGGGTTAGCCTGGTGATGGATATTAAAGAGGGCACGTTCTGCATGGAGCACTGGGTGTTGTGCACAAACAATGAATTATGGAACACTACATCAAAAACTAATGATGTAATGTATGGTGATTAACATAACAATAAAAAATTTTTTTTAAAGATAGAAATGGGAGAAAGAGACCATGTAGTCCAGGGTCTCTAACCCTGATTTTGCATCAGAATTGTCTAAGGCAGGGGATTTTGAAAAATGCAGAACCCCCCAACCTGTACCCCAGTCCTGTTAAATCAGAATATGTGTTCATGGGAGCTTGAGAAACTATGCATTTTAAAGTTTCCCAGATGATGACTCAGATTCTCAAATAGATTAGGAAACACTGATATAATTTAATGCCACCATGACCATCACCCCCAAGCCCTTTTTTTCTGCAGAAGTTGATACCAAGGCCCAGAGAGGACACATTAATGATAGAGTAGATTCATAGTCCAGATGTTCTGTTTCCTGGTCCCTTGATGCTTCCATCACTCCACATCCACAGATGGATACCTCTGGGTAAGTATAATACAGTGATATCCATGACAGACACATCCTTTTCATCCTTTTTTTTCTTAAGATTTATTTATTTATTTTAGAGAGAAAGAAAGAGAGAGTGCAGGGGGAGGGGCAGAGGGAGAGGTAGAGAGAATCGCAAGCAGACTTCCACCCCGCTGAGCATGGAGTCCAACACGGGGCTCCATCTCACGACCCTGAGATCATGACCTGAGCTAAACAAGAGTCAGACACTTAACTGACTGAGGCCCCAGGCACCCCTCATTCTTTGTAATGATAGGTGATGCATTCACATGAGAAAGGCACCCAAAGGTGTGCTTTGCAAAGTCTCTCCTCTTTCTGTGTCTACCGGTCTGTTTTCTCGCCTCTCATCCACCCTCCCCTCTGCTCCCAGTCTCACTTCACCCCTCTGCACCTGAATTTCCTCGTGTATAAAATGGTAATTATGATAATAATAGTGCTAACCTCATAGGCTGTTCTCAAGGTTAAATGAGTTATATAAAGCACTTAGAACAGTGTATTGGCTGTGTCGTTTGATAAACATTCGCTATTATTTATATACAAGAAGAACATACATGTACAGATATATTTTTGTTCATTACATATGATAGCAGGTGTAATAGTAGCATAATATACACACTGGTTTTAACTCTTTTTTCTCTTAATGAGGTATCTCAGAGCTCATTCCATATCAGTACATTAAAAAGTTCTTCATAGTGGTGTATTGTATTGATACTCTAATTAACCAATTCTCTATTGAAAGACATTTGTTTCTTTTTTTAAAATTTTTTATTGTTGTGTTAATCCCCACACATTACATCATTCGTTTTAGATGTAGTGTTCCATGATTCATTGTTTGTGCATAACACCCAGTGCTCCATGCAGAACGTGCCCTCCTCAATACCCATCACCAGGCTAACCCATCCTCCCACCCCCCTCCCCTCTAGAACCCTCAGTTTGTTTTTCAGAGTCCATCATCTCTCATGGTTCGTCTCTCCCTCTGATTTCCCCCCTTCATTCTTCCCCTCCTGCTATCTTCTTCTTCTCTTTTTTTTTTTAAAGATTTTACTTATTTATTTGAGAGAGAGAATGAGAGAGAGAGAGCACATGAGAGGGCAGAAGGTCAGAGGGAGAAGCAGACTCACTGCTGAGCAGGGAGCCCGATGCGGGACTCGATCCTGGGACTGCAGGATCATGACCTGAGCCGAAGGCAGTCGCTTAACCAACTGAGCCACCCAGGTGCCCCTCTTTTTTTTCTTTCTTAACATATATTGCATTATTTGTTTCAGAGGTACAGATCTGTGATTCAACAGGAAAGACATTTGTTTCTAATATTTCCAATATCTTGCTATTATGAACTTTTCATTTTAAATATTTTGCTATTATGTAACTGTGTACTTACACATAATCTTGCTACATCCCTCCCATAAACTGTTGGAAGAGAAATTGCAGGGTCATTGAGTTTTTTCATTTGTAATTTTGACGGATATTGCCAAGTCACCCTTTACAAAGGCTGTAAGACTTACACTCCCATCAGCAATGTGTGAGAGGACCTGTCTCCTCAAACTTCACCAACACAATGTGTAGTCAAAGTTTGTGACCTTGCCAATCTGATAGAAGAAAGATAGGATCTGACAATCATTTTAAATTGCATTTCTATTATTGTGAATGAAATTAAGCAATGTTTCATATGCTTAAATTCTATTTATGTTCCCTCTTCTCTAAATTGTCTTTTTATATCCATTGTCCATTTTTCTGTTGGGTTGTTGGTCTTTTTACTTTGATTGATAAGAATGCTTTGTGAAATAGAAAATAAAAGCTTGGTCTATATTATGATTTATAAATATTTTTCACAGATTGTCATTAGCCTTTGATGCTGTAGTTAAGTAATAATAATAATAAAGATAATGTTTACATTATGAATTTCATGCCTGCTTATTGTGGAATTTCTGGAAAATACAAAAAATTAAAAGCAAGAAAATAAAAATCATCTATAACCCCACAACAAAGATATTCTGCTAATATTCTCATTT